AATGGAAGCTGGAAGCCAGGTGTGAGAAGCTTGCGATGCTGGAACCACTTGGTCCCCTCAAGAACGAGCAGGCCTTTCCCTGAGAAGGGATGGGAGAGGGAAGGCTCGTGTGTCCAGGTACTCCTGCTCCAGCCTAGCAGCGGGAACTAAGCACTCTCCACCTCCCATCACTGACCAATGGAGTGTGGCTGAGCAGGCTAGAATTCTGGTCAACCAGCACCTAGATGGAAAGGGAAAGGAAGGAAAGAGAGAGGAAGGGAAGGGGAGGGACCGGAAGTTGCTCACTCACCAATCCACTGGAGGAAGAAGTCATACACATCTACAGCCTTAGGGTCTACAGAGGAAGGAGAAGTGGGTCAAAAAGGACACATGAAGGGACAGGGGGATTTCCAGAGGTGGCTTGCAGATGAATGGGGTGGTGCCCTTGACCATCCTCTTCCTAGACTTAGGACACAAGCCCTGACCTCCTCTCAGGAAGCCCCACCCTCTCCTGGAGATATCTCACCCCCTCTGCTGTACACAGCTTTGGCATAGTCAGGCTCATAGATGTTCAAGAAACCAAGAAATGGTCCCATCCAGAGTGGTGAGGCATAGGGGAACTGGTGGGCCCAGGACACCACCTTGTCCAGGCTCCCTGTCTGCTGGATCTGAAATGACAGAAAGTCAGGACCCCTCAGGAACTCAGTGTCACCAACCAGGTCCAGGTCCCTGGACATAGAAAGGAGGAGGCGGCCTCGATAGGCTCTAGGGTCTCCCTTCCTCCTTCCTCCTGAACCTCCCTCTCCTGAACATCTCTGGCATGGTGACCTCTCCAGCCCCACATCCCCTGCTTTATGTCCAGGGATCCTTATCTGCCCCCAAACCACCAACCCCAAGTGCTCTGGGGGTTGGGCCTTCTTTGGTCTCCAGCTGAGACAGCAAGGAAGGGCATGGCTGAGAGAGGAGGCCTAACAAGATCCCAGGACTGAAGTGCAGAATAATTCCCAAAGCCCTGCTCGTGGACTGCTCACAAGAACATCTCATGAGGACTTTGATCAGAAGGCCTAGACCCAATGTCAGCCTGAGGAGTGGGTGACTCAAAAAGGACAGTCCACATTGAGTTTTTGCCACTGTGTCCTTATTTTGCATGACATCCCACCTTGATGCTAGTAGAGTGTACTTCTTTTCTTACTTTTACTTGGCCCAAGCTTGCTCTGCAGAACCTGCTTCTTTTCCTATCTTCTGAAAGCAGATTCCAGTACCTGAAACCTTGTAGCACATCTACTAACTGTGCCATTTCTGGCAGGTCATCTTTCCCCAGTTTGGTATACTCTCCGCATAAATAGATTCCTCCCTCCAAATTCAGAGTTCAACCCAAAGTGGTTGTAAGATTTTTTTCATCACCCTGAGCACACAATGTTAGAAAGAGCACACAGGGATAAAAATCATCTCCACTCACAGTTAAAGACAAACCTCTAAGATCACTGCCTCCTTTTTAGATGATATCCCTGGCCATATTCCCTGCCCCTATGTCTCTCATATTTTTCTATCTGCCTTCTGGGTTTTTCTTACCAGCTGTCTGATCACCACGGTCACTCCCTTTCTCCCCCTGTCTCCCAGGTCCAAGGAGCCTCACTTAGCCTGGCAGACAATGGCTTAAATCACAGAAAAGCAAGACTCTAGGATCTTGAACTTGGAAAGAACCTATGATTCATCTCACTCATCCAAGTCCCACTTCCCTCTTTATCAGCCATACTGTGCCCTTCTGCAGCCTCCCTATCACAGAGATCCTGGCTTCACATTAACCCTGACCTTGGACATTTCCAAGTTTCCATGGCCTTCCTGTGTCTATCTTTCTGCTACGTGTCCCACTTTCTCCTATGTGTCTCTTGCTGCCCCAGAAACCTAGGGAGAATGAGAATAGCTCTCAGCATTCATTGACTACACTGCAGCTGCAGCCCCTCCAAAAGGGCCACGATGGCTTCCTTCTTAGTGATGTCTTCTGGCTGCAGGCCAGATCTGCTGGGCTACACAGCAGGATGTGTCAGACTCATCCTCACATGCCCCGTTCTGGAACACTTACTAGGAGGTCTAGGCCAGCTTGTTTTTCTCCAGAAGGAAAGAAGCTGGGGAGACACAGGTTGTAAAGATCATTCACTGAACTCAGCTTTCCAGCTGCACCCCCTCATCCTCTCATTCGCGCTCTTTGTTGATTTGGCCAGGAATAAATAATAGGAGGAATTGAAGGAGCAATCACATGGCGCTCCTCTCCTCTGCTCCTCAGAAGGCTAAGATTTGCTCCAAGAATCAAATCAGAAAAAGATATCAATACCAGAAAGAATGGCTGCTATCAAGAAATCAACCAATAACAAATGCTGGTGGGACTGTGGGGAGAAAAGAACCCTTCTCCCTTGGTGGGAGTGCAGACTGGTGCAACCACTATGGAAATCAATATGGAGATGCCTCAAAGAATTAGGATTAGAGCTTCCATTTGACCCAGCCATCCCTCTGCTGGGTCTTTCCAAAAGAATTAAAAGAATCATACCACAGTGATATATGCACACCCATGTGTATAGTGACACAGTTTGGAATAGCTAAAACTTGGAAACAGCCCAATTGCCCATCAGTTGGAGACTGGATAAAGAAGATGTAGTTTTTCTATAAAATGGAATACTACTCAGCCTTAAAAATGAGATATTAGAGTCATTCATAGGAAAATGGATGCAATTTGAGGTTATACTCAAGTGAAATAAGTAAGTCACACATGTAAATACTGAAGTTTCTCTAGTGTGAAAAACTATAATTGTAAAGAAGATCCCAATGGTATAATTGACAATGTGAAATAGGAAGAAAAGGGCTAAAGGTGTAGGGAAAGTGGAAAGGGTAGGGGAAAGGAAATAAGGGTAAAGAAAAAAATCTGAGAAAACAAAACTATGGAAATAAAGTATTTGTAAATAGGGAAGGGAGAAGGGGGTGAAGGGAGGGCAGGGTTATGTGGGAAAAATGAGAACCAAGACCTGCCATGTAAAGGTACAAGATCCCAATGATGACTGTAACTGTACTGTATACCTAAAAGTACCAATAAATTGAATGAGAAAAAAAAATATCACCCAGTCAAGTCGTGAGCTCTTTTCATAGGTGAACATAGTACAACCCCAAGACCAAAGGGGACTATCCCAGATGAGTCAGGGATGACCAGGAATCCTGACTGAGGTTCCTCCTTAGTACCTGTGGGCCAGTGACCCAAACCTCAGTTGGCCAGTGTCCAAGGAACAAGCTACTCATTGCTACTTAAGAATGACAACAACAACAACAAAAAACCCCATCTGTTTGCATTTAGAAAAACAAATGGTTGCAGAGGACAGAGAATAGGGAATTCCTCTTCCTCCATATATTGGAGTCCCTAGAGTCATATTGATCTCAGATTCGTATACCAGCTGTTAGCTGGCCCAGTGCTTCTACCATATGAAAATTGCTGCCTCCCACATTCAGACAGCTCTAGCAGTAGGAAAGTTACTCCTTTTCAAAACAGCCCCCTTTGAACTCTACAAATTCTTTTTTTTTCCTCATGTATTTTATTGGTACATTTTATGTACACAATATGTTTACATTCACTATTGGGAGTTTGTACCTTTACATCATATATCTTGGTTCTTATTTTTTTCCCCATTCCCCTGCCCTCCCTTCAACCCCACCACCCCTCCCTATTTACAAAAACTTTGTTTCCATTTTTTCCCCTTTCTTGTATGTATTCCTCTCCCTTCTTTGCTTTACCCTATTCCTTCCACTTCCCCTTCCCCTCTGGACCTTTCTTCCTATTTTACATTATCTGTTTTACAGTTTGGTCCTCATTTAAATTTTCAGTTTCTCACACCAGAGAAACTACTTGGTATGTACACGTGTGTCCCATTTATTTCACTTAATAGTATGGCCTGAATGTGCATCCATTTAGCTATAAAGGTATCTAGTTTCTTCTTCTGTATAGCTGAATAGTACTCCATTTAATGAAAGTACCCACATTTTCTTTATCCAGTCTCCAGCTGATGGGCAATTGGGCTGTTTCCAAGTTTCAGCTACTATAAACTGTGCCTCTATGAACATGATATACATATATTGCTGAAGTATGACTTTTTTATTCTTTTGGGAAGATATTCAGCAGGGGAATATCTGGGTCAAATAGGTCTCTAATCCTGCTTTTTTGAGGCATCTCCACACTGATTTCCACAGTGGTTGCACCAGTCAGCACTCCCACCAACAGTAGAGAAGGGTTCCTTTCTCCCCACAACCCTGCCTAGCATTTGTTGTTGGTTGATTTCTTGATAGCAGCCATTCTTCCTGGTGTGAGATGAAATCTCAACATTGTTTTCATTTGCATCTCTGGAATGACCAGTGATACTGAACATTTGTTCACATGTTTATTTGCTATTTCTATTACTTTGTCTGAGACATGTCTGTTCATTTCAGATGCCCCTTTTTGGACTGGGTCTTTAAATTTGGGAGGTCTGATTTTTTTAAGTTCTTTATATATTCTAGATAGTAGATTTTCTGAGGAATGGCTAGTAAAAGTGTTTTCCCACATTGTGGCTTGTCTATTCATGTTGTTGGTGGTTTTTCTTGCTGTGAAGAAGTTTTTTAACAAAAAAAGATCCCACTTGTTGAGTCTTTGTCCTAGTTCACATGCAGTGGAGATTTTGTTAATGCAGTCTTTTCCTTCACCAATGTCTTCAAGAGTTCTACCTAAACTCTCTTCCAACTGGTTTAGTATCTGTCTTACTATTTAGATCTTTGATCCATTTTTATTTTAGTTCAGTACATGGAGAGAGATATAGATCTAGTTTTAGTCTTCAGCAAGTTAGTTGAAATCCAGTTTTTCTAACACTATTTAGATAGCCATGGAGGCTTTCTTTCCTCCAGTGAAGGTGTTTGGCTTCTTTGTCAAAGATGAGGTTGCTGAGTATGTCTGGAGTTGTTTCTGCATCCTCTAATTGGTTACACTGATCCTTGGGTCTATTTCTTTGCCAGTACCATACTGTTTTATCACCGTAGCTTTGTAGTATAGTTTCAAGTTGGGGTTTGTGATGCCTCCTACCTCATCGTTGTTGCCTAGAATTGCTTTTGTTACTCTAGGTCTTTTCAGGTTCCAAATTAATTTTTGTACTGTTTTATCAAGGTCTGTGAAGTATGCCGTTGAAATTTCACTTGGGATTGCATTGAATCTATATAGCAGTTTGGGAAGGATGGACATTTTCACAATATTGGTTCTTCCTACCCAGGAGCAAGGGATGTCTTTCCATTTTCTGTTATCCACTTCAATCTCTTTTTTCAGAGTCCTGTAGTTTTCAGAGTAGAGGTCTTTGATTTCTTTCATTAGGTTGATTCCTAAGTATTTTGTTTTATTGGATTCTATTGTGAAAGGAGTCGTTTCTCCACTTCCTCTCTCAGTGAGTCTGTTGTTCGTGTCCAAGAAATCTATTGATTTTGGTGTTGACCTTGTACTCAGCTACTCTACTGAAATTGGTTATTAAATCTAAAAGACTTTTGACAGTGAACTCTCCAAATTCTTAACATGACTTCTTAGTCACTGGACTGAAATCCACCTCCCTAGATCTTTCCAAGTCACTTAGGTTCCCACTGTCCAGGGAAGTCCTGCAGGAATCTGCATGGTTCT